ACCCCTGGAGAGCCTTCCTCCCGCCCAACCTCAACTTACTCCTCTAATTTCGCTTTATTTTTCATTATCCGGCGCTTTCCAGGTTCCCCTCAGTGTAATCCATCAGATTTCGGCGCAGTTTAAAATGCTCTAAGCCCAAATATCACACACTGGCCTGGATGTGCTTTTATTTCTATAAACCTGGGAGGGAATTGTGACCGTTCTAACGTTAAAGAGATGTTTTGTTCTTGGTTTTCATAAGGAAAACTGTTCATGCTTGGGTTTTGATGAAGAAAACGGTTTATTCTTGGGTTTTCCTCTTTTGGCAGCATTTAAAGCATGATGGGGTTTATTGTCTTCCTTGTGGAGAAAGAACTTTTAAAAAAAAAAGGTAGTAAAATAAAACAGAGGGCATGAAAATGGAAGATTGAATAGGAGGGTTTGGGGACACAGAATGTTATTCTTTATGTCTGTCCTTTAAAAGTCGGAGAATTTCAAGCCTTTGCTCTGCCGGCAGAGTTACAAAATGTCAGCAGCGAGTTGTGTGGATGGAAAATAAGGGAACTACTGCATGCCACGGGATTTCTTCCACTTCCACAGCCTGCTGTTGCCTCCCAACTTGCTTACTGCAAAGCAGGGGGGCTCCTTGCCCTGGCACGGCCGCTCCCGTGTACCCCCATAGTGCCCTGTGCCTTCAAGGTGGGTACCCCGGCACGAATTGTGCTGGGTTTCCTGCAGATTTGGTGATCTGCTGGCAGGAGTTCCTCGGTAGAAAGAAGGAAGAGCGAGAACGTGGTTTGCAACCGTGAACGTGGTTTGCACCGCTACAGCAGGGCCTTGCCTCGGTGCCGTGTGTTCGGTTCTTGAATCGTTGCTATACATGTGAAATTAGCCACCTTGGCAGGCCCAAGTGGATGCTACTTGAGGAGACCCATGTGTTTTGGGAGGAGTTACTCCGTTTTGAGAGCAGACCTTCAGCCGCAGCAAATGGGTGTTGCCCAAAAGCAGTACAGCAGCATTTGGATCAGGTCTCTGAGCCTTCATCCCACCTGCTGTGGTTAAAAAAATAAGAGCAAAAGGGAGACAGCTCCTGTAGGAAGCTGCCACACTGAGCCCAAACACAAGGAAAGCTCCAGGAGCTGATCAGGCATCGGGTGATTTTTTTCCA